TGAACCCGACAATCATCACCATCAAAATCCACACCAACTCCTATGCATTTCTGAATCTTTTGGTATTATAACCTTGGAGAAAAAATTTGTGCCCCACAGTAACCAAATGTGTTTGATAAAAAGATTTAAGGTCCAACTTTAGAAATTCACAAACTATGCTACAGTTACATGTCAATTGCTAAATCCTTTAAAAAACAAGAAAAAACTGATTATTTTGAATTATGCAAAACAGTTTTGCAGTATTCATTTTAAAAATGACATAATTAGATTTTTCTTAACTGCATAAACTTTTATTTATGCCTTTATTGATGCACTCGTTTTAAGGAATATATTCATTTTACATAATAAGGTGCAAATTTACAAAAAAAATCACTTAAACCGTCGTTATTTTGGCCTCGTTCTGCAGATTATCTTAAATTTAGGTTGCTAGAGGTGTGGCGTGTGTTGCGTGCCAGGCTGTGCATTTTAAATAGCTTATCTGAACAAACAGTTGACACAAACCAGCACAGCCTGTTTCAGTGTACTGGTTCTGAATAAAAGCACCACTATCTGACCATGCAAACAATGCAGTTAAAATAGTCATGGTAAAGCTATGAGGGCGTTTAAATACTTTTAGTTTCTCTTTGGTGAAATTGAAAATATGCATTTAAGATGAAACAATACAAACCCCAAAGCTCCATGTAAGCAAACACAAATTTTCTATTGTAGTGTTTCTGAATAGGTGTCCGTGAATCAAGTTAATGAAAAGATTAAAGATATGCACAGAAAGTTAAGACTCGACTCCTGGAATTAGGGTGGAAATTCAGACTTTCTGTAAAAGATCAATTTAAATTTGTTCTGAAGTCCTTCAGATGTGAGAATACTAACCTGGCGAATGCATAATTGGTCTACATAAAATAAATCACAACACTTTTTAGAAATATTTAGAAAATCCAAAATTCATAGAGAAACCTCCAGTCAAATTTTTTCCATCCTTTTGTTCGTCATCAGAAAAGAATTCTGAGTATTTTAGACAATCCTTTTAGAGAGAAAATAAATAAAATGTTAACGTGACTGACTGTAAGGTTTGTGGTGAGTTTCACAGTCTTTTAATTTCGTTAATAATGTTAGATTACCATTGGTTTTTCAGCTCCAGTCTGCACAACCTCTTTATTGTAACTACTTTATACCTTGCATAATATTCACACATTAGTACGACACTTGAAACTGCAGCATGTGGCAGGACAAGACAGGTCGCCAAGTTTTACTGGCGCCTATCTCCAGCTGTCAATGGGAGAGAGGACGGGTCCGCCCTGTAGGTCGCCAGTCCATCGCAGGGCAACACAGAGAGAAACAGGACAAACAACCATTCACACTCACACCTAAAGAAAAGCCCATTAACCTAACAGTCATGTTTTTGGACTGTGGGAGGAAGCCGGAGTACCCGGAGAGAACCCACGCACTCTCTCATGCAACGCTTTGTAGAAAGGCTCCGCACCAGGAATCAAACCCAGAACTTTCTTGCTGCAAGGCAGCAGCACTACCACTGCGCCATTGTGCAGCCAAGGTCAGAAAGCAGCTGTTTTAAATTATTTAATGAGGTTTGTTGGTTCATGTTAAGCTGTCATAAATAAATCAAGACATCATGTATGTGTATGGACAGTAAATAAACTTTTGATACTAAAAAGTACTAACTTGGCATTTTAATGCTTTGTCTGAAAACAATCTGAAAACATTCATGTTGCTGATTCAGGTCAGGGGCTTTGAATGCAACGACTCTTCTGACAAGGTAAAGCTATGAAAATAGCTGTTTTAAACTATTTAATGAGGTATGTTGGTTCATGTTAAGCTGGATATAGATTGTTAGCAAGTTGAGATATTTTTTTGGAGGAAAATATCTGGTTGTTTCTGTCCTCAGTAACATTGTATATTTCCTTATTATTGTGTCTTAAAGCTCGGTTGAATTCACCCTTTGTTTTTTAACCAAAAAACAAGATTTATTAAATAATCTTTGCATGCTTTTCCTGCAGCAGGTAATCCAGTATTAGGGGCATTTTGTATCATGGAAACTCATTAAAACCCTTCAGCTTTAAGTTATACTGGTACATGTTGACAGAAACTTCATACCTTTGCTTCAGTTTTTGTGAGAAATAGTTGAAGAGAAATGATTGAACAGTACAGGGTGCTTTTTAATGGCAACTGCAATGGGATTTATCTCTGGAGCAACAATGTTGATAGAAGGCATATTATAGCAGAAGCGTCAGGCAGTGAGAAAGGTTTAAGCTTCAGTTGACTGACATGATCATCTCTCTCTGTAGTAAAAAAAAACACTTCCTGCTAAGCAACATAGCTTTGAGAGGGAAAGTAAAATGTTCTTATGTGCAAAAGACAAACTGACACTTTGTAAGGATTAAAAAAGATTAAGTGCTCCATAATATGAAAAATAACAAAATGTACTTAAACAAATACACTTTTTAATATTATTGAAGAGAAATTGTTCTGCTGAGCAAAGGATGCAAGTTTTTTTTTTTTTAAACACTGAATAGTAAGATACTGAGTAAATGTAATTAGTAGCAACAGAGTTTAAGAAAGTCTTCATCAAACAGACCAGGAGAGAAAGCAAAAAGAAAATGATGCAGCATCGCTTAGAAGGCAATGAAATAAAGCCTTCGTTATACCATGTGACCAAATGTTTACTCCTCCTCTTTACAATATAAACTCTAAATTCTTCCCTCTCTTCACTCCTCCTCAGCCTCTCTGAGCATTAAGCAGACTGACAACACAGGTAGGGAAAGTTTCTCATATCACTATCTGGATTTGTTTAGATTATAAACTAATGTCAACTGGTGCACATGTTTACTTTGTTAAAATATCCCTTCAATTAAATAGCATTGCTAAAAAAAAGGTTGGTTTCTTTTTCAAATGTACCTGTATACTAATTGTATACAACGCCCTCTAGTGTCTGACTTTAACTACACCTTAAAACATAAAAACAAAAATTAAAGACATAAAACTGTTACTTCCCTTTTTGTTTTTAGAAACCCGTTTCAATCTCACAGCAGTGAAATATAACTTCAATATCATGCATAGAAGGTAAGTATGAAAAAACATTGTTTATAGAATAAACATAGAATATAGAATAACTTTTAACAATGTCTGCACTTATCAAACCATATAAAGGTTGAAACTGGTTTCCAAAGATACTTAATCATCTGCATTTGGTTACCTTGTATCAGTGATGTGCATGATTTGTGAAGTTAAATTCAATATAATCATTTATTTAATGTAACCTTGATTAAATACGAGGAAATAAAAAACATCAAAGGAATAACCAAATTAACTGAACATCCAATATGTAGACTTTGATCTTGATGTGATTAGATGGATATCACCCGTTGAGTTCCTTTAAACTGCATCAGATCTGAGAGCTTCAAATTAATAACACATGAAAAATTTAACATAAACATTGAAAAGCATTACAATTATGCTAATGGATCAAATGGAGATTTGTTTCATTTGTTTTTATCCAGTGAGAATATATCTGAACTTTATAACAGGACAGGATATGGGGTTCATAAACCAATATATTCTATTTCTAACTGAGAACGTTCCTTTATTAACCATATTGTTATGCAATTCCTACAGGGATAGTGGATGAAATATTAAAAAAATAAAGCTCAGTAGATATTGTTTATTAATATTTAATAAACAATATCTAAAGTTTATCCAAAGTCAGCATCTTTTGTTCCATCCCTCCAGAAACACTTTTCCCAATCCTAGAGAAAATAATAAATCAGGGAATCATTCAGAAGGGTGGTCCACCTTGCCACCTAGACTAAACATGAGCTTCTCAGATTGCAACTTTTGGTGCTGCTGACAGAAAACACAAGGAGGTGATTGGAAGGGAAATAGGTTTTCCCTATCCCCTTGAAAAAATTCAAAAACTACTGCTCAGCAGAGTTCTACCTTATACCGGACAGAAGCTCACCCGATGGCCCTCTCCGCCGCAGTAGAAGAGTAGTTCAGGAATTGTGTTTGGACCGGACCAGGAACCAACACAGGTGTAAAGGAGACAGTATGAGGAACTGGTCGAGGGCCTGAGACGTCAGAGCTCTCAGTTCTCTGTGACGTTCTGTGAGACGTAGATATATATTCAGAGGACAAGATCCTTCAGCTGCTTTAGGGCCTGAGGGTAGTCGCGGGCTGAAAGTTTATCCTTAATTCTTTCATTGAGGCCAAAAGTGAAACCGTCCATGAGGGCGTCCTCATTTCAGGTACTCTCAGAGGATAACAGGTGGAAGTCGGTAATATACTCTGCCACAGATCAATCAACCTGCCTAAGTGACAGAAGTCCCCTCGAAGCCTCTCCACTGGGAAAAACTGGGCAAAAAACAGATGAGCTTTTGAGAAAAAGCACTGTATGAGTAACATAAACTAGAAGTGTTGTGCCATTCAGAAGTTCCCCACAGCTTACTTTTACTGGCTTATAGTGGAACTATGTGGGCTGCCTCAGCCCAATCAGTAGGAAACGCAGAGGGCTGAAGCTCGAAATCCTTTTTTTCATTGGGTCAGAAAAGCCAGACTCTGATCAGGATCACCCTTTAACAGTTCAAGGGGTGACAGATGCAGCTCCTGACAAACTGATCTGACAGCAGGTGACGTAGATGCAGAAGTACGCAGGTTATCAACAATCTCTTGCATACCTGACTCGAGCCAAGAAATACATTGTTCAACGTCAGAATGCCACTGTCTGACTGCTGATGGGTCCATGTTTGGCCCGATTATTCTGTCATGGCTCAAAGCAGAGAACCCAGTATTCAAGCAGACAGGCAGCATGATATCTCAAAAAAGGATTTATTTAAAGCAACAGATCTGCAGTGAATGGCAAGGACGTCTAAAGCAGGAACCTATGTAGAAATAGAACACAGGTTAGTGACCACGTCAATCTGGCAGAGGACGAGGTTGGTTCAAGCAGGTCAGCTGCCAACAAGACATGGTGGACACTGCCCCGTGAGTCCCAGATGTTGAAGCCCCAGAAGCCAGAGAACACGCAGAAGATCAGATCAGAGCAGTCGATGAAAGGCAGGATAATCCAGAGGGTGAAGCCAAAGCTGGAGTCGAGGAGGTGCTCAGGAGTCCGGGCCAGAATATCAGAGATCCAAAGAGCTACCAAAGGGAAATCCAAGACAGAGTCAGGAAGCAGTTCAAGGTTTTGTAAACAGGAAGAATCCAGCAGGGCTCCATTCCTCGAAGCAGGTTTTACAAACTCAGATTCAAATCCTCAACTCTACATTAACCTAGCCTAAAGTTCGGAACTCTGGGTTTTTGGTTTTACAACAGCTGCTATGAATTACTTCAATAAACTCTAAGTAGGTCCACTGAAAGTTAAGAGCATGTGTGACAAGTTCAAAAAGCCTTCATCAGTGGAGCCTTAAATCGAAGAGTGACTATGACAACAGGCAACAGGAAGTGCCTATTACACCCTATTGGAACAAGAGATTTTAATAAAGAAATTTAAAAAAAAAGGCAAATCACAGAGAAACAGCGCTACTACTACAAAGGAAGGAGAAGGGAGATGGTGAAGGAGAAGAATGTTGCTTGAATGAATGCGTAGGTTTATATGAAATGGGCTATGGGAGGCCTTTTTACAATTATTAAAAGCACCCTGCTCTTATATTTTCCCTGATCAAAATCACATTCCTAGAGGACATTTTTTTCAGATATCAGGAATACATGTTCAGTAAAATGAATACATATCAAAATGGCCTGCCATAGCCGGTTGTGACCACAATAACATTACAAGTTTATTTCTTGAATTCTAGTGGATCAAGGTATCCATTAAGATGACATCAGCTGTCAGCAGGTGAAGATGAAGAATAAAAATGTTTTCCTAATTGATGGGACTTGTTCATCCTGTCATGGTTTCTCAGTTTGATTCTCTTCTTTTACTTAGTAAATACTAGTCCCTCCCGTGGAATTTATTAATCTATTTATGTGTAATATGAAAGAAGTAATTTCAGCAGTTCTTTGTGTACTGTAAAACTAAATAAATAAAAATGAAATAATCTGCATGTCGCTCAAAATAACTAAATCAAGAACAAATAAATGTCATACCCTGTAAAATGAGTTGTAGAATCCGCTCCCTATAAATATTTAATTCTCAGTGAATAAAATTTTGATCATTCTTTAATAAGATCCTCGTCAAACGAACACGCACTGCTTGTTTTTAAAGCCTAATGTGTCCAACAGACCTAGTGAACAATTTTTTTTATTCACAAAACTATGGCTAAATCAGGGAATAAATCAACACGATTGACTGTAAGGTGAAACAGAGAACACTATTAGTTTAATGAACAAAACCTGGTCTCGACCAGGTTAGCTCAGGAGAGAATGTTACTAAGGTGACTAAAACTGAGGTTGAGGAAACTGTCTTTGTGAAACACAAAAGTCAGAGTTTTCCATATTTCAGGTTTAGAAAACTTAGAGTTTTCAGTAAATCTGCTTCGTGAGATGGACCCCATGAGTCCGAAAACAGGTCAGGTAAACAGATAAAATGGGAGCAGGTTTGCTCATAGGTCCAAAGGCAGAACGGATCAGGATAAGGCAATCAGAAAATATTAAGTTACCCTAGAAGACTCTTACCAATGGATTGAATAATCTGGCACTGATGCCTCGAAGAAGGCAGGTTAAATAGAGACTGGAGCAGGTGATGATCGGCGCTAATGAGAAACTGAGTGTAGCAATGAAGGGGAAGGAAATGAGTAATCAATTCAGGCATCTGCGCCATGATCATGACACTGAGGCTGTGTCCGAATGCCCATCCTTCCACTAAGGATCTTCATCTTTAGGTTGACATTAAGAAGCTGGCTCCCCATTCCCTATTGCATATGGCCACCGGCTACCCTATTGCCACCCTATGGCCACCCTATCCGCTTCCCCCTCCCTCATTCCTTAAGAATTTCCCCCACTTTTCAGGTGTCCCACGTGAAACCTGTTAGGACCTCCAGGTTTGTGCCAAGCTCTAGGTCACCTCCCCCTCCCCGTGTCCCCATTGAAGGGTACCCAGTCTACACTGTCCAGCGTCTTCTGAGGTCTAGGTTGAGAGGCAGGGTGCTCCAGTATTTGGCTCTGTCATAGTCCTGGCGCTGATGTTTTTTTTGTTTTTTTTCATCTGCCACTGCTCACCTGCCTCATTGGACCCACGTCTGATTATCGCCGATCTGTTTCAAATGGTTCCTGCAGCTATTTATGCTTTTTGCTTGCCTGCCATCGGCACCGAATTATTCTAGCTGCTTCATTGTGAATAACTCTAGCTTTGACTTTTTGGATTCTGACCTGCTTTCTGCTTGTTGGATTTTCGTGTTTTTGCCTTTTCCCTGTCTACTTTGTCAGATTTATTTTTGGACTTACTTCCTGGATTCTGCTGGTTATTGAAGCTGGACTGTGTTACCGACCTGAGCTTGGATTCTCCTTGGATACCTCATCGGCTCTGTGATCTCCTGGTCAATGAATCTGGTTTGGACTGTACTTGGACTTTGGATTATCCCTGTCCTTGTCTTCCTGTCTGAATATTGGGTCCTAGTTTCTGAGGTTATTATACCTATGCCAAGATGATATAGCTGTTTGGTCAACAATACCAATCAGTAATGTTAGGACTTTAATTGTCAGCAATTTTTCGTTGGTAATGATGGGTCATTAATGGTCAATTCTATCTGATCCAAAATTATTGTTTCATTCTTTCATGGTCAGCAATGCCAGTCAGTAATGATGTGTCATTATTTGTCAGCCATACCTGGCCGATAATGTTGGATCAATAATGCTTAACTATCGTTAGTAATGATGGGTCCTTAATAGTCAAATGTGGTCAAGTATTTTTTAATGTAGATTACATAAATAACCGGCATGTATAAAATGAAAGAAGGATCTTGTATTTTGTGGTGATAAGAATATTGTCTAGAAGTGCCAGCTGAGTGTTAGTGATTTTCACAGTGTTTTGTTCTTCCTTGCTGACACAAATCAAAAATGTATTTTTAAACATAAATATTTTTGTAATAACACAATGATTGCAGAGATTAAGTAAGAGTATCTTTTCCTCCCAGGTGTCCATGTGTAGACTGAATACAACCGCAAACAATAAGTTAAGCAATAAAATTACTGTAGAAGCAAAATTAAAGTCTGCCATACAACAACATATCATACAAAGATTTTAAGTTTTCTAACAGAAACATCCCAGTTTAAGATTAGCTCCAAGCCTTGTAACTAGAATTGCATTTAAGCAAAACAGTTAGATTTAAATTTTTTTGTTTTTAACTGATTTCATATATTTTTATATATATTTTATTTTGGGCTTAATTGGAGGGTTGCCTTATGTTTAACGATATTCAAGCTATTTTTTTCTTGAACACTTCAGTTTAGTTTCAAAGTTTATTTTACAGGAGTGGTGATGAATACCAAGATTTTTATATCTAGACAAACTAGATTTACAATAAGGTCTTTGTAAGAAGTGTATTCCTTTAGATGTTTGAGAATTTTCCCTGGATATCAGAAATCTATTTTAAATGCCAGATTCTGTGAACCCAAATGATTCAGAATGAGGGAGATGATGGTATCTGCTGTCGCAGTTTACAGGTTACCATGGGGTTTTATACGTTCAGTAATGTAGTATAAAAACAATATGAACCTGAGTAAATACATTGAACTTTTACATTATTCCCAATATGGATGGAAGACCTGGGGGTAAATTAATTTAAACTAGTAAAGTTTTTTATTTTTTTTCTTCAGGTACACTATATTGCCAAAAGTATTTGCTCACCTGCCTTGACTCACATATGAGCTTAAGTGACATCCCGTTCCTAATCCATAGGGTTCAATATGACGTCGGTCCACCCTTTGCAGCTAGAACAGCTTCAACTCTTCTGGGAAGGCTGTCCACAAGGTTTAGGAGTGTGTTTATGGGAATTTTTGACCATTCTTCCAGAAGCGCATTTGTGAGGTCGCACACTGATGTTGGACGAGAAGGCCTGGCTCTCAGTCTCCGCTCTAATTCATCCCAAAGGTGTTCTATCGGGTTGAGGTCAGGACTCTGTGCAGGCCAGTCAAGTTCATCCACACCAGACTCTGTCATCCATGTCTTTATGGACCTTGCTTTGTGCACTGGTGCACAGTCATGTTGGAAGAGGAAGGGGTCAGCTCCAAACTGTTCCCACAAAGTTGGGAGCATGGAATTGTCCAAAATGTCTTGGTATGCTGAAGCATTCAGAGTTCCTTTCACTGGAACTAAGGGGCCAAGCCCAGCTCCTGAAAAACAACCTCACACCATAATCCCCCCTTCACCAAACTTTACACTTGGCACAATGCAGTCAGACAAGTACCGTTCTCCTGGCAACCGCCAAACCCAGACCCGTCCATCAGATTGCCAGATGGAGAAGCGCGATTCGTCACTCCAGAGAACGCGTCTCCACTGCTCTAGAGTCCAGTGGCGGCGTGCTTTACACCACCGCATCCGACGCTTTGCATTGCACTTGGTGATGTATGGCTTGGATGCAGCTGCTCGACCATGGAAACCCATTCCATGAAGCTCTCTGCGCACTGTTCTTGAGCTAATCTGAAGGCCACATGAAGTTTGGAGGTCTGTAGTGATTGACTCTGCAGAAAGTTGGCGACCTCTTCGCACTATGCGCGTCAGCATCCGCTGACCCCGCTCCGTCAGTTTACGTGGCCTACCACTTCGTGGCTGAGTTGCTGTCGTTCCCAAACACTTCCATTTTCTTATAATACAGCTGACAGTTGACTGTGGAATATTTAGGAGCGAGGAAATTTCACGACTGGATTTGTTGCACAGGTGGCATCCTATCACAGTTCCACGCTGGAATTCACTGAGCTCCTGAGAGCGACCCATTCTTTCACAAATGTTTGTAAAAACAGTCTGCATGCCTAGGTGCTTGAATTTATACACCTGTGGCCATGGAAGTGATTGGAACACCTGATTCCAATAATTTGGATGGGTGAGCAAATACTTTTGGCAATATAGTGTATGTCTCATCTCAATTCAAGAACATCATCTCTAAAAGTCTCCTGATCGAACCAGGACCCCCAGCTGTCTACCAGCTACAGACAAAAAATTAGAACTTTGGACCTCTGAGTAGGGTAACTCTTGGAAAAAAAACACAAAACAAGGCAAATAGAACTGTATTGCTGGTGGGTGAAACAGAAGCAGGAAAGTCTACGTTCATCAACTCTCTGGTCAACTACGCCATGGGAGTGAAATATGAAGATGAACTCTGGTTTCAGATTGTAAAAGATGAGAGGAGGGACCAGACTGAGAGTCAAACATCAGATGTAGTTGTCTATGAGATCTTTGGGTTTGAAGATCAAACTCTTCCTTTCTCTCTTACCATCATTAACACGCCTGGATTTGGAGACACCAGAGGGATAGAAAAAGATATTATTGTCAGTCAAAGATTGTTTGACCTGTTTCGATCTGATGACGGGATCAACGAGATTCACGCTTTTGGTCTGGTGGTTAAGTCCACGGACAATCGAGTGAATGATCGCCTGTCATACGTCTTCAATTCAGTCATGTCTCTGTTTGGGAAGAACCTTGAGAAAAGCATTGTGGCTCTAATTACTCATTCTGACGGAAGAACACCCAAGAAGGTTCTTCAAGCGCTTGAAGCAGCAAATATCAAATGTGCAAAAAACGAAAAGAATCAACCAATTTACTTCCTTTTTGACAACTGCCAAGCTGAAGACCGATCAGAAGACGAGGAATTCCTTAAAGCAGCTGATGAAATTTCAAAAAAAGGAATGAAAGCCTTTACAGACTACATCATGCAAAGAACGTAAGTAACAAAAACATTAATTGTTCACAATGAAATAAAGATAATTCATATTTGCACTGATCAAACCACAAACAGCTTCAAAGTGGTTTTCAAAGACACTTTATTATCTGCATTTCTTAAACCAGTGGATTGCATAAGTTGTATAGCTAAATTTATTCTTATCTATTACTTTATCTGAAATAAACTTGATTAAATAAGAGATAATAATTAAATATTAAAGGAATTGTCAAATGAACTGAAGGTCAAGAAACAAGGAAACTAAAGGTTTAAAGCAATGCAATGTCGTGATTGGTTTAAGCGATCTGACCCACATGTAGAGAACCAATCAGAGGCCAAGGGAAAAAGTTTAACAGGTTTATTAAAAGTAGATGAAATCCAGAAGTTGGATCTGTAACTCAGTGGACTGGTGAACCGGAACTGGAAAGTCTGAAGGGGAGATCACAGTGATCAGTTCAGGGACTGTAGGAAATTTGACTGAGGCTTGAATATAACTGGAGAGGGACTCACATTTGAGGGGGCTCTTGTCAATCCTTGAATCCAGCTTGTGGGGGTTAATCCAGAGAAGAGGGAACTCATTAGAGGGCGGACAGATTGATTTATTATCACTCATATCAATGTCATTTAAGTCATTAAGTACGAAGACAATTCCATCCAAGAGGATATTATAACTCACAGTAACACCTACAGGTAAACACGTGTAGTCAGGGTTTCATCAGTGTCAGCTATAGTAATAGTGATTCTGTTAATTCAACATTCTGAGAAGAAGAAATATGTATGAAAATTTTAAAATGGCTTTAAGCAAGACTGTTCTTTTTTTAGGAAATCTTCACTGGACCAGGTGATCTCTAAAAGTACACTGATCCGAGAAGGAAATCCATCTGTTTACCAACTGAAAGCAAAAAAAGAAAAATCTTCTACAATGACCAGAGTGACTGTTGGTACTAAAGATGCACGCAAGAGAAATAAAACTATCTTACTGGTCGGGGAAACAGGAGCAGGAAAATCCACTTTCATCAATGCATTGGTGAACTTCACCATTGGGGTGAAGTTTCAGGATAAAGTCTGTTTCCAGATTGTGGAGAAGACGGACCAGGAAACCTCTGAAGTGACTGTGTACGAAGTATTTGGCTTTGAAGGTAGAGTGATCCCCTTCTCTCTGACCATCATCGATACTCCAGGATTTGGAGGCATCAGAGGGATAGAATATGATGACAGCATCACTAGGCGTTTATTGGACTTGTTTCGGTCAGGAGGCATTGAAGAACTTCATGCAGTGGGTCTGGTGATGAAGGCAAGCGGTAATCGGCTTAATGACAGACTGATGTACATCTTGAATTCAGTCATGTCTTTGTTTGGGAAAAACATAGAAGACAACATCATAACTCTGATCACCCACTCAAACGGAAGAACACCAAAGAATGTCCTTCAGATTCTTGAAGTTTCCACCATTAAATGTGCCAAAGATGAGAAGAACAAGTCTGTCTACTTCCTGTTTAATAACTGCCAGAGCGAAGACCGTACAGAAGAAGAAGAATACCTGGAAGGAGCCTATAAGGTAACAGAGAAAGGAGTGAAAGAGTTCACTGCTTTTCTGGAAAAATCTCAGCCTCAAAAACTGAAGACAACTGTTGATGTTATCAAAGAACGCATTAAACTGACAGCCTGCATCCAAAACCTGCAGCAAAGATTCACTGAAGCTGAAGAAAAGCAGAACCAGATCAGACAAATCCAACATAACCTGATGAAACATAAAGAAGAGATGGAAAAGAATGAAAATTTTTCTTTTGAAGTAGAAGAGTCCTACAAAGTCAAAGAATATATCAAAAATGAAAAGTGGATTAAAGATGTCCTTCATGATGGAGCTATGTGTTGCACTCGCTGTGAGGAAAACTGTCACTTTCCTGGATGCAATTGGGCGCCGACACCTGCCTTATGTGAAGTCATCAAAGACGGTCACTGCATCGTCTGCACTGGGAAGTGTCCAACATCTGATCACGTGAAAGAGAACTGGAGATATGTGACCAAGACAAGAAAAGTTCAGACAACTGCAAATGAAAGGAAGCGAAACTATGAAAAGAGTAAAACCGAAAAAGAGAACAACTCGAGTTATTTAGAAAGTCTGGAAACTAAAATGAAAAATCTGACAGCAGAGAAGTCCCAGCTGCTGGAAGATTCCTACAAACACATCACTAGGCTGGAAAAGATTGCCCTCAAAGTTGATTCAGCAGCTACCCTGGTCCACCTGGACTTCCTGATTGAGAAGATGAGAGAAATTGGAATGAAAGATAAAGCAGAGAAGCTGGAGAAAATAAAAACGAATGTTGACGAAGGAAGCCAAGCAGCCGTACAATACCAGCATGAGAATCAGCCTCAGATAAAACAATAGGATTATTATTCAGTAATACAAACTGAAACCTATCTTTGAACATAAAAAGCTCTGTCTAGTAAAGACCATACAAACCTAAAGTCATTTCTAACTATATGCTTTAATAAATAGTCAATTATTAAATATCTGAAATTTTTAAATGCATTTTTAATGGTAGAGCTTATTAGAAGATCAATGCACCAGCTATTTGTCAAAACAATTAATTTGAATTCAATACATTCGGAGAACATATAGATACGGAAGAGGATTAGGGCCACTGAAAAAAAAAAAGTTTACTGATTTAAAAATTTTATTTCAATTTTTATTTCAATTCAGAATTCTGACTTTAATCTCAGAATTCTGACTTTAATCTCAGAATTCTAACTTTTTCTCAGAATTCTGACTTTAATCTCAGAATTCTGACTTTTTTCTCAGAATTCTGACTTTAATCTCAGAATTCTGACTTTTTTTCTCAGAATTCTGACTTTAATCTCAGAATTCTGACTTTTTTCTCAGAATTCTGACTTTTTTCTCAGAATTCTGACTTTAATCTCAGAATTCTGACTTTTTTCTCATAATTCTGACTTTTTCTAAGAATTCAGACTCTTTTCTCAGAATTCTGACTTTTTTCTCAGAATTCTGACTTACTCTCAGAATTCGGGATCTTAATGTAGATGGGCACCATGAAGGAAGAGATGTGGGAGCACTCAGCTTCACTGACATAGATGTGAGTTGTTGAGAGATCCAGTGACACATTGGTGGAAAATGACGGAAGTAGGCAACTTTTTATGTGCCCGAGGGGTCCCCTCATTAATGGAGGAGCAGAAGGTCATTAAAACAAGAGAGCTAGTCTCTAAAACAGACATGGCTATGGCTTGATGCTAACATGTTTGTTAGCTGTCAGAATTCTGAGAAAAAAGTCAGAATTCTGAGAAAAAAGTCAGAATTCTGAGATTAAAGTCAGAATTCTGACTTTTTTTCCAATACTAAATTGAAATAAAATTTTAAAATCAGTAAACTTTTTTTTTTTCAGTGGCCTTAATCATCTTCCGTATATAGAGGATAAAAATGTTGCAGAATAAAATTATAAATTTCAATTAACAGAAATGGTCTATAAATAATTGTTTGTTTTTCACCAATAGGAATAGTAGGTTGAAGACGGAACAACATCCTAGTAGCTGTGTTATGGTGTTGGGAAATTGTCTCTTCTTGGAAAAGGTTGACATTAACATTAGTATATGATGGAGCCAGCTTTATAGATTAGCAGGCACAGGCTACCAGCTGGGAAACAGTGCAGACTAAGAAAAGGCACTGGATCCCACAGGAGTTAAACTTGTATTTATCACCTTTAATGTTACTATAAAGTTATAGCCATGATTTATGGTGGAGGTTATTTTAAAAATAAAAATGTCTCTAATATAGGTTGTTTTTATTAAGCACAGACAGAAGGAGGTTAAATCATGTTATTATTTATACATCATGTGCATTGTTACTTTATTAGCCAGATTAGAGAGCGTAGAAGGCCTTCCTTCACATTGTGGATGTCACTGTGCGTACGGAGGTCATCTAATCAGGACAGCCTTCGTGTCTTTAGGAATACACAGGATATGGGCACATCTTGGAGCCGGACTGATAGAGGAGAGCTATCTGTAATCCTTGGGCATGGATGGCGTGTCAGTTTCTGATACGGACAGCTAAGCATCCACCTGATCCAACACATAGACTCATGAGCTATAAGAAGGAGAAGATGACCTTGTTCGGGGCTAAGTCTTTGCCGGACGCTCACGGACGTGATTTTTGAGCCCACAGCTGTGCAAGCTCCAAGCATTTTCTCTGTTCTGTAACGACCTGATCTGGAATAAACTCTGTTACTTTTTCACTCCTGTTTTTATAGTCCTTTTTATATGGTTTTACCCAGTTTGAGTTAAGAGTAATAAATAACTTGCTCCCAGGAAAAGAACCGTGAGGAAGCCCCTGAGGCGCAACGGCTTTTTAGGGGACATAACTGCCTCATTTAACAATCAGTTACAACATTAGGGGTAGAAAACCTTTTTGTCTCTGTAGAAAAATCCTTTAATTAACGAGAGATAAAGTGTCAGGAATAAAATATTATCAGCTAGCTTGTTCCAAAGTAGATTAAGGGGCAGATGGTCTCTATACAGCCCTCCAGGCCGCCTGCACATAAAAAACAGATTATAGTTGTTTTTATGAATAAGCAATAATGTTGTTTTTATGTTTAACCCAATTAAATAAACTTTCCTGAACCAAGCGCTATTGTCTCCAAGTCCTTCCTGAAGTTGCAACTCATGAAAAATGATAAATTATGTTATTTTAGGCTGCCATGATTAAAATATTTTTAAAAACTGGTCATCACTTGGCTGGGGTGGAAATCTCCCTCCCGGGTCTGGGGTCCGTTTCTTCCTGGGGGTTAGGCTTAGCTTTGGAGAATAATGGAGAGCCATCCAGGACTGAAGCAGCAAGGATCATTGACCTTGGTCAAACAAAGGAGAGGTAAAGTACCCTAAAAGAAAGGAACATCAAAGAAAACAATATCAAGAAAGAAAGAACCCTTTTCTAAATCATTTATAGCTGAATACATTTGTCGTTAACTAGAGGAGCTTTTTATACAGCTGAGAACTAGAATGGAGAAAACTGCATTTCATGGAATTACAGCAAAATATGTGCAACAGGATGCGCTGTATGAGTAATTTTTGTTTTACTGGCACTTGCCTCCTAAGCCAGGGATTGTGGGTTCGAGTCCCATCTGGGGTAAATATGGAAGTTTGCAGAATACATGAGAACATCAACTTCTACTAATTGTCCTATGGAAGAACCTTAGGGCACAGGGTTTTAATCCCACAGCCTGCACTTTTTGAAAAAAATACCCTTATCCCCACACAGCTCCCCAAGGGAAGGGTTAAGTGCCCTTGCCCCTTTTGCTGCTGTGTACTTGGGACAATGTAATGACAATAAAAAAAGGCATTAAAGACTGTTTTAAGTTTTCAGTTTGTAAATGCAAAAACATTAAATTCAGTCTTTAATGAACTTTTAAAGATCCAATAAAGGCTCCAATAATCAGAAACAGGCTTTAAATGATTTCTACTTAAGTGCAGAATGAAATAATCCAGCTTTGAAGATTTTTGTTTTTAAACTAGTGAAGTTAAAAGCTGAATTGAACTTTGTAAACCTCTGTAGAAATTGAGATTAAAACATATTGTTTTGTAAATAAAAAAAATAAATAAAAAAAATTGACTATTTAAAACTAAAAAATAAATAATGCTCTGCTCTTGTATAACTATTTTAGCTGTATATTTTTTAAAACATTATTTTTAGACAGCATTTTTCATACACAGTAGACAAACGGTACAAAAAAATGTTTTATTTTAATATTTGAAGTGAAAATTTTGCATTTATGTTATTCTTGTGACAAATATATATATATATTTTTTTATTTATCTATCTGATGGAGGCGGTTTTCCTACGGTCCTTGAACGCAGCCCCGGTCGTTTTGGAATGACGTGTCAGAAAGCCCCGGAAGCTGTCAGTGACTCCAAGATGGCCTACCAGACTCTGCAGCAGGAATATCTACAGATTCCTGTTGTCACCAGAGCTTACACCACGGCCTGCGTCCTCACCACCGCTGCAGTGGTAAGACCAACCCGAACAGAACCGAACCGAGTCAGTCAGTCAGTCGGTCAGGGGTTTCCTGGGTTCCTCTCAGCCTCCAGCTGTTCTGTTACACATCCGATTCTTAGCTGCTCATTCAGGAAGTTAGCTTCATGTTTCATGATATTCCGAGCTGGGAACAAAACATGTCCATTTAACCCGGTCATAAATGTAGTCAGAGATTATAATCTGTCTTTATTTGTCTGAAAATGTTGAGGGAACCTGTCTGCTCAGTCACAGACTGCCCCTGAACGCACCATCAGATGTTTGGACATCAGGTCAGACCTGGACAAATAAACTGAATCTTCTGGAGCTTCACCTCCAGTTTTTGCTCCTTTAAATATGTCTTTACTATTTGAATTCCTTCTGGGTGGAAATTATGGATCAGATCCTGATGGTGACCTAAATGGTGTTGGTTTCTGTTTCTTCTGCTTTTCATTCTCTTCTAAGTTTAGCTCTGGAGACATTCCTGACCACATTCCCAAGGTCCCAATAAGCAGAGTTCCTATAAAGACTGAAAAAATCTGATCCGAGTGTATTCCAGATCTGAGAAATATAGAAAAGGATCTATCTACTGATCCATGTAGCCTTCCTTGCTAGATTATCCAGGATCTCTGATAACATCTGTAGTACCTATAAAAATGGCTTTAAGTTCTGATTATTTATAATAACATTTTATTTTCTGTTTTTTTTTTTTTGCAGCAACTGGAGATCATCACACCGTTCCAGCTCTACTTTAACCCCGATCTGATTCTGAAGAATTACCAGGTGCTAAATCCAAATAGATTGTCTACACCAGGCATCCCTAAAGTCAGTCCCTGAGGGCCGCTGTCCTGCAGGTTTTAGAGGTTTCCCTTCTTTAGCACAGATGATTATGATGCTCGCAGTTCAGCAAAAGCCTGTTAATCAGCTTTTAATTAAAATTAGCTGCGCTGGAGCAGAGAAACCTCTAAAACCTGCAGGACAGCAGCCCTCGAGTACAGACTTTGGGGATGCCTGGCTTACACCTTAATATATACCTAAACTTTTCTATTAAACTAGTGTAAAATTACTGCAACTGAAGGATTTTTCTCCTTTTTTTTTTCCAGGTATGGCGACTCATCACCAACTTCCTGTTTTTCGGTCCAGTTGGCTTCAATTTCCTGTTCAACATGATCTTTCTGTATCCTTCTGGTTTGCATGTTTCTGTTTCACAGAGCCAGATGTTTCTGCATGCTCAGAGGCAGCAGGGGGGGACATAAAGCAGGGGGGTGGTTATTATCGTATGAAAGTGATGCTGGACCACAGTCTGTGCCGTTTTTCTTTAACCGCCTGTTTTCAGGTACAGATACTGCCGGATGCTGGAGGAGGGCTCTTTCAGGGGCCGAACGGCTGACTTTGTCTTCATGTTCCTGTTTGGTGGCCTCCTCATGACCGTATCCTTACCGCTGATTTCACACATTTAGGAGCTTTTAAGAGAAAGAAAACGATGAACTAAGGTTGAGAGGAAAGTAGGGTTCAGATCTAAATTTAATAAAGGTTTCTGCTGGAGGTTTCTTCCTGTTAAAAAGGAGTTTTTCCTCTCCACTGTCGCAACAAGCATGCTTAGTGTTTTCCTTAGATAGAAAACTTTGAATCAATCTGACTGGATGATCTGGTGAACTGGAAAGTGCCTTGAGATGAGATGTGTTGTGAATTGGCGCTATAGATTAAACTAAATTGAAATTATCTCCTGCAGAGATAAAAGCCCCATTTACACTACCCTATGAAAACCGATCTGTGCCGAGCTTCGTTCCTTAGAAACATTTACAAACCACGCTAGCAGAGTTCTCACCTCCTAGTGGCGATCTACGGTACTTCTGCTCTCTAGATAAAAACAATCAAATCAACATGGCAGCATCCGTAACGTTCAAGAAGTTCACGGAGAGTCAGGCAATAAAGGCAGCCTTTGGTGAATTTACTTAAAGGAGAAGTTCGTTTTTTTACACTTTAAGCCCATTTTCTGTAGTGTCCAGGATGAAATCGAATGATCGACACCAAAAGTTTGACAATTGCTCCTGTCTCTGCTTTTTGGCTCATTTAGAATCACCCCCTGGCTGCTTTAGAATGGCTAGCATAGAGCATGTCCGATAATGTCCTTAAAACAACCTTAAACGTTCTTTTTTTAAAATATGCTACTCACCGTGTCGTCAGCGCTGTTCAATGACGTTCCAAAAAAAGTTTCGTGAAGAAAAAACGTTCCTGTAGTGTTTCATTTAGCATTTTGTAAATCCCATTGAGTTCTGTTGGAATAGTCAATATTCCCCTGCCACCGGAAACGGAAATGGGGCCTGTTTACACAGTTGTAGTCTTTTCGCTTCACTCTGTGTACTCCGATGTCGAGAATCAAGAATCCACCTTTCGTATTCCATTTTCAGAGTTTTTTAAAGTGTTTAACAGAGATGTTAGCACCTCGACGTCGGAGTACACCGAGTGAAGCGAAAAGACTACAACTGTGTAAACAGGCCCCATTTCCGTTTCCGGTGGCAGGGGAATATTGACTATTCCAACAGAACTCAATGGGATTTACAAAATGCTAAATAAAACACTACAGGAACGTTTTTTCTTTACGAAACTTTTTTTGGAACGTCATTGAACAGCGCTGACGACCCGGTGAGTAGCATATTTAAAAAAAAGAACGTTTAAGGTTGTTTTAAGGACATTATCGGACATGCACTATGCAAGCCATTCTAAAGCAGCCAGGGGGGGATTCTAAATGAGCCAAAAAGCAGAGACAGGACCAATTGTCAAAATTTTGGTGTCGATCATTCGATTTCATCCTGGACACTACAGAAAATGGGCTAAAAGTGTTAAAAACCGAACTTCTCCTTTAACAGATTCGGCTTTTGGGAAGTGGATACGACAAACGATAGACTTATCAGGGCTTACAGATGCAGGAAACAATGACAGACGTTCAGGTTCATCACACTGCTAAGCAGAATCATTACTGGAAATTGTTTGGTACCGTAGGGAAACCGATATTTTTATAAATGTCTGAAATTTCCTGATTACGGAGGCTGACTGTAAGGAGATGACGCGGTCTGCTCATGCGCTCTTTGCTATCTGAAAACTGAGCTAGAACTGAACTGAGCCCGACTGATGAACTAGTACCATGTCAGCACGGTTTGGTTGTGTCTTGCATGGTCCGGTTCAGTTGTGCGTGTCATTTACACTCAATATTTATCTCAGTTACTGTGCTTGGACCAATCTAGGCACGGTTTAAATAAAGTGGTATAAATGGGGCTAAAGTTTACCTTAAAAAATACCGTAAGTGAGAGTGAATCCTTCACCAGATGTCAAACAGATCTTCGGCATGTTTGTGAGCCTCGTCTTCCTCGGCCAGGCCTTCACCATCATGCTCGTCTACATCTGGAGCCGAAGGAACCCAAACGTTCGCATGAACTTCTTCGGCCTCCTTAACTTCCAGGCTCCCTTCCTGCCCTGGGTGCTGATGGGATTCTCACTCCTGCTGGGAAACTCCATCATCATCGACCTTTTAGGTCCGTTTTACTCCCAACTGCTGCCAGGATGAGGAGAACTTAGGATGGGAGGAATGACGGTTGCTTTGATTGTTCTTTATTTACAGGCATCGCTGTCGGTCATGTGTATTACTTCCTGGAGGACGTGTTTCCCAACCAACCAGGAGGAGGACGGTGGCTCAAGACTCCATCAATCATGTAAGTCTGTGTTTTTTAGCCCAATTAGCTAAATGCTCATTTAAAGGGCAAAACTACAACTTTTCTTTCAATTCATTTTTAAAAACTAGTTTAAAAACTGAAAAAAGCTAATACCAATAGAGTGGTGCAGAATATGATTAATTTAACTGAAAATAAAATGTATAATATATAAAAAATTGCTTTTAATATATATATAAAAATACATAAATATAACTTCTAATAATCTGCACCAATGGGGGTAGTAGGTTGAAGTCCCTTGAGATGGAGCTGTGGCGTTGCCAGATCATGTGAGCTATATGGAAGGTTTGAGAGATTGCTTTTTCTCTGGATTACATTTCTCAGATTTAAGCCAAAAAAAATGATCAAAATAAGGATGAACGGCGTTCCAGCTTTTCAGCATTGGTGCCGATTTACAGTCGTAGCCATTCAAGCCATCCCCTATAATTCCTTTTTAAAGATCAATCTTTGTACTAAAAGATTATTTCTGCTATGATTTGTGGACATTAAGATCTAAGAGAAGCGACATCTCCTGGTCAGACCCTGTAATTGAGTGAAAGGGTGCAGTTAGAGTAAAAAAAAACAATATGCAAGTCCATAAGAAGGCCAGTGGCTGGAAGTTGGAGGGGATTTTGCTGCCATTCGGCTGATTTTTCACTGAGAACGGCCTTTTTAAATGGCTGCTACTGTATGGAAGCAAAGAGGCTCAGAAGCTGCATGGAGGTTGCTGCTTCTTACTGAAAAGTTAAATGTTTGCATTACCAGATTAGCCAGCAGGCAGGTAAACGGTATAGAATGAGAGCGGCTGAGCTCGAGTGCGCCCCTCACTGGCCGGGAGGACTTAAACTTGTAGCGGCCGCCTTTAATCCATGTTCACTTGATTACTTTTCAGATATTATACAGATAAATATATTCAGTTTCTCTCTTCATTCCATTCCTTACTTCTTACTTTCATAATGAAATTTTATTTTAATCTATATTAAATGAAAATACTTTTGTTTCATTGTTTTATATTTTTATGCCTTAATTTGTTTATCAACATCTCTAAGTTTATTATAACTATAATTTCTTTACTTGGATCATTTTATTACATTTTTTGTTTTATTTTACTTAATTTTACTTATTTTATTCAATTCTTCTATTAATAAAAAAATCCTTTTTGTTCTGAATTAAAGAAGCTGAAGATTTCAGTGAATAAATTGAGTTCAAATTAAATTATATTGATGCATTTAAGTTTGATTTTAATTACTGTTTTTGTTACATTAATTTATAACATGTTTTAAGTAATTCTGTAAAAGATTCATGTTTGATAATCTCTTAATACATTCAGGAAATACGTATATACCCTGAAATGGAAATAGCACTTTATTAGTATTAGTAATGTGGATGATAGAATTAAATATTCTAATTTTCCAAGTTATTCTTGGATAAAAATTGTGAATTAAGAAAATATCTCAGAGCTTCTGAAATGATTAATTAAGTTTGAATTAAACATCAATATCTCAGACCTCAAATAAAACCAGGAGAAACAGAATAGTTCGATTTTTTTTATTTTTTTCTGAACTAATTGAATCCTTTTAGCTGCAGAGAGCAGATTTGTTCTTCTTCTTCTTCTTCTACTCCTTCTTCTTCTTCTTCTACTCCTTCTTCTTCTTCTTCTACTCCTTCTTCTTCTTCTTCTTCTACTCCTTCTTCTTCTTCTTCTTCTTCTTCTACTCCTTCTTCTTCTTCTTCTACTCCTTCTTCTTCTTCTTCTTCTACTCCTTCTTCTTCTTCTTCTACTCCTTCTTCTTCTTCTTCTACTCCTTCTTCTTCTTCTTCTACTCCTTCTTCTTCTTCTACTCCTTCTTCTTCTTCTACTCCTTCTTCTTCTTCTTCTACTCCTTCTTCTTCTTCTTCTACTCCTTCTTCTTCTTCTTCTACTCCTTCTACTCCTTCTTCTTCTTCTTCTTCTTCTTCTTCTACTCCTTCTTCTTCTTCTTCTACTCCTTCTTCTTCTTCTTCTACTCCTTCTTCTTCTTCTTCTACTCCTTCTTCTTCTTCTTCTACTCCTTCTACTCCTTCTTCTACTCCTTCTACTCCTTCTTCTTCTTCTACTCCTTCTTCTTCTTCTTCTTCTACTCCTTCTTCTTCTTCTTCTTCTACTCCTTCTTCTTCTTCTTCTTCTACTCCTTCTTCTTCTTCTACTCCTTCTTCTTCTTCTTCTTCTACTCCTTCTTCTTCTTCTTCTTCTTCTACTCCTTCTTCTTCTTCTTCTTCTACTCCTTCTACTCCTTCTTCTTCTTCTTCTTCTACTCCTTCTTCTTCTTCTTCTACTCCTTCTTCTTCTTCTTCTTCTCCTCTGTAATGATTTTGTTTTACAACCTTAGCAGTTGGAATGACGTCTCCCTGTTTGGTTTAAACATGCAAACACTTCTCAAATAAGTGGGGGAAGAAGGACAAGAGACGTCATATTATTTTTACCTGCGGGGAGAGCATCAGAGATGGCATCAGTTATGATCTCCCACCGCTCTGATGCACCTCTGCTGTCTTCCTCGCGCTTTATTGAAAAAGGGAGTCACTAGTTCCAACAGATCACACTGTAACTCTAAAGGAATGTGTGGGGAGTAAGTTGCAGCATGATATAGTGTGAAACACATAGATTTCTTCATCCAGACTGCAACCTTGAGTTAAACACATGAAAAATATTCAGTTCACAATACTTTCACAAGAGTCTGCTAAAGATATTAGAAAGAAGAAACAAGGTTAATACAGGATAAGATTAAACAAAATGAAATGTCTCCAACACTGATAATCGTCTCCTCCTGGTGAACTGAATCAGTCCAGTTTTATCCCAGAATCAGGGAGTCAGGTCAGCATCCTGCCCAAACAGCAGGGAGTTGATAAAGTCTGAGCTGTTTCAAAGAGTCTCAAAAACCCCAAACTGAAGGTTTGTGTTCATACACAAATTTGTATTTATACCTTCCTCCTTCAGAGGAAGGTATAAATACAGCTTCAGATGGATGCGCCATCGCAGGGGAGACTAGCTTTGTGATGTAAGCTATATATTACGGTTCACAAAATCCACGGTTCGGTTCAGTTCACGGTTTCGTGGTCACGGTTTTCGGTTCGGTATCTGTTGATTGTTAGCATGACATGTTGGTCGTGTTTAGGGGTGTGGGAAATAATCGTTTTGGCGATATATCGTGATATTCGGCTGCCCAATATAATATCGATCTTTCACTTCTTAGTATCGATTTTCAAAAAAAAAATGGTTACATAAAACATTGATGGGATAATGGGCTACCTCTGCACCACCACTCTGGCAGAGAGCGCTGTGGAGCCCTTTAACTGTGCGTGCAGCACCAAATCTGTATTTGAGGCAGTCACAGTGGAAGAAAACCCCAAACAACATGGATAATAATACCTAATCAATATTTTCTGATGAAAATATACAGCACTTGCTGTTTAATCTCATCATTTGATTTTGATAGCTGGGGAAAATATGGCAATATATTGTGATACTGCAATATCGTGATATCGTATCGTGACCCAAGTATCGCAACATGTATCGAATCGCAACACTCTTGCCAATACTCACCTCTAGTCATGTTGCTGTTAGCATAAACAAAACTAGTTGCGCAATGCTTGCACACTGTTGCACTTTTATCCACAGCTTTCTTTCTGCCGTCATCGTAGGTCACTCTAAATGCAAAGTGGTCCCATACAGCAGACCTATAAAGTGCTGCTGGCGCGTCTTCCAACTCTTTCCCAAGTTCCTTCCCACTCGCCATACCCACACAATTCTCCACAACAATTGATTTTTTTCTGCTACACCCGGCTACGCTGCTTCGCTTCTTCTTCTTCTTGTTTACTACTGGTGGTTGGCTTTGGTCGCAGTACCGCCACCTTCTGCTCTGGAGTGTAATCGCTTCGCCTATGAGAAAAAGGAGCAGCGCATTAACCAAACCGAGACAGTCGAACCGAACGGTTTTCATAAACCGTTCCATCCCTACTCTGTATGGTATTATCGGATAGATTGTTGGAATTCGACTTGTCAAACGTTTTCTCCCCTCCAGAGGACAAAATGAAGTAAATTGTCTTGGGTGTTTGAGTTTTGTCTTTACAGAATTTTACCATTTTGAGCCCCAATGCTAGCTAACGTGTCGATGTTAGAACAACTTGCCTGATGTTTCAGCACATTCATGAAAGCTGTGGGTGAAAACTTATGACAGCATTACGCTTTGCTGCGCCTGGTTCCATCCATCCCATCCACTATCATTTCCGGGGTCATAGATGGGACTGGAGTTCCAGTAGTCAATGGACGAGAGGCGGGGTACAGCCTGGACCTGTTGCCAGTCCATCGCAGGCCACATCGCCTAGTTTAATTGCTTTAAACCAAATGGAAATGCTTTTAAATCAGCATTTCCTTTTTTTTTTTACTTTTCTATTTGCTTAAAATTTGCATTTCAGTTTGATGGAAACACGGCGTTTGTTGTCCAGCCTGTCAGTATAGTTGGACATCCTTGTCTTGGTAGGTTTGTTAGTCCATTGATCAGAACTCTGGGAGACGTTCAAAGTTTGGGATATTGTTCTAAAACCCATCTACTGGGTTCCCTGGTCCTCAGGATGCTCTGAGGCCAGACAGAGACCAGAACAGCTGCCGTTTCCTGGAGGTTGGTCCCCTGACTGGATTTCATTTAGGGGATCAGTGTAAAGGGGCTGAATATAAAAAAGATTTTAATGTTTATTTGGTGAAATGTGTCTATTTTAATTAGAAGTTTCTACCATGAAACAATTTACTGCTTCAGGAAACTGAGGACTTTGGTTTTATGGTTCTGAACTCTTTAACTCCTCCTGCAGAAAGATGCTGTTCGACACTCCGGAGGAAGACGCCAACTACAACCCTCTACCAGAGGACCGACCCGGAGGCTTCGCCTGGGGGGAGGGTCAGCGGCTCGGAGGGTAGATGTCCCCCCTCCCCCCGCAGGTGTCGGGTGGCCTTCGTGGACCTTCCCTCAGAGAGACGAGGGGGACCAACGTGCTCTTTGTTTTCGACGTGTTCTGTTTAGTTCCGGGTGAAGAATGCCAAACAGCCTGGACTGCTTTGAAGGAAACGGTTCTCTTGTTCGTGATTTTGGGCTTAAATCATTTTCAGAAACTCTTCTCGATCCCAAGTCGTCTCTCCGTGGCCCATTTTTAGAAGAACCGGAGCTTCGGACTTCAGATAAACTTTGGACAATGAGCCTGTTTGGTTCACATGATGTTTGTCTTTCGTCTCAGTAACATACTGATGTGTAACATATTAAAAAAAATGGAAAAAAATGAGAACATTTAAATATAAAACAGAATTTATCCTAACGGTGAGTCCTTCTTTTTCATTTCACTTTTTAAAACAAATAAATGTGTGCAGCAAATGTTGCTTTGGTTTCATCTCTTTGGTTTCGTTTGGATATTTTTCATGAATCGGAATCAGAAATACCGTACTTTAATGATCCCAGAGGGAAATTATCTTCATTACACTCTAAAAATATAAATATATACATATGTAACTTTGTGTATATATATATATATATAGATATATATTTACAGATCTAAAATATGGGGATAATAGCCATGTGTAAAGGAAAGAGCAAAAGAATGAATAAATGTCAAAAATTGTCAATATTTCTATAAATCTAAGTCAGAATTACAGAGAGAAAGGATTTCCTGTCGGCACTCTGTTGTGCATCTGGATAAGAGGAATCTTCTGCTGAAGGAGCTCCTCTGCTGGGCCAGTGTGTCGTGGAGAGGGTGTGAGGCATCGTCCAAGATGGACTGGAGCCTGGACAGCATCCTCCTCTCAACCACGGTCGTCAGTGTTCAGCTCCTCCTCCACAACATCACCAGCCCTCCTGAATGGTTTGTTTAGTCTGTTTTTGTCCACGACCTTCAGCCCACTGCCCCGGCATGTGGCAGTAAAGAAGATCATGGTGGTCACAACAAACTCATAAAAAATTAAGGGGTTTTAATTGACTGTAGGGTCCAAAAAAACACCAGACCTGACCTCTTCCCTCAGATCTCTCAGGTTAAAGGTCCAGACGCCTCGGACCATTGAAGTTACATTTATAGCTGACAGGATCTACATTTGGAGCCAAGAATAACCCCAAAGAGAGGAGGAAACCAGGATAGAATGACATAGGGCAGAGGTCTTCAATGAGGGGTCTGCAACCCCCTAGGGCAGGGGTCACCAACGTGGTGCCCGTGGTCACCAAGGGAGCCCTCAAGGAGAACATGGGGTGCCCTCAGCATCTTTTGAAAACAGAACAATTCACCAGTGGACTAAATCTGAAATGTTATTTTTTACTGAAGCTCTGATTTTGAAGCATTTATGAAGCATTTTACCATATCAATAAATTAGAACATTTGAGGATTTATATGGATTTCATAATGAGAATATCTAAAAGCAAATAAAAAATGAAAAGAAACAATAGAAATATGTTTATTATCTATGAAGTTCGGGTGAACGCCGACTCCTCTAGTTCATAGGTCAGTATTGGAAGCCCGTCCTATGACTCAGTACCCATAAAGTAGCCCTCAGCCTTAAAAAAGTTGGTGACCCCTGCCCTAGGGGGTCGCGAAAGTTTTAGTTGATTATACTTTTTTTTTTTTTATTTCCCCAATTTTTCCCAGTAGTTCAAATGTCTTTAAATCCACATTAACAGGAATTCAACACACTGTAGTAAACAGATAAATGGAGGCAAAAGATGTCTTTCAGTCATCAATGCACACATTCAGTGACACACAGGAGCTCTTTCAAGCTGGGAACCGTTTCATTCACAACACCTGTCCCATCAACCAGGAATCAGAATCAGAAATACATTAATAATCCCAGGAAGAAATTACTTTAGTTACATTACTCCACATTTAATACATTGATTATAGGACCAGTTTGATAGAACACTATTTCATACAGTATATATAATTAGGAGCTCCCTGCTCCATCTCGCCATCAGTTTGAGGTCCTTGGCCTGGAAAACGTTGAACACCACTGACATAGGGAATCCCAAACTGGTCCCTGAGCACTAACCCTCCGTTTAGCTGCCACATTAAGTGCCGTCCAAAATCCTATAGGGGGTAGGGCCAGTTGATCATCCGCCCTTAAATAGTGAGTCTGCATCAGTTTCAGGCTCGCTGGAATCCGGCAGCAGGTGTAACAGCAGCCTGGTGGTGAAGGAAACACGTTCCGTCAAATGTAAATGCTGCTGGTTTGCTGCTACTTCTTCACACTGTCAGAAAATCACATTTATTATATGGGAAAAAAATTGAATTATTTCCAAAATGGAAGGTGCTCTTTAAAATACTTGTTTTTGATCGTATGATTTGTTTTAAGAAAGGGGCAAATGTTTAATGTTAGGTTAACCTGCGCCACTGAGCTACAGCCAAGCACATGGGGTGGCACTGTGTTGCCATAGCAACAACTGCTTTTCTGTTGGAGGGAAGCTGTGAGTGAGACTTCACTGTGAGTGACACTTGATAGTGAAGGGTTAGTGGTTAGGGACCGGATTGGGCCAGGGAAGGAAGAGATTCTAGCATCGAGGAGAACAAAGAAAAAATGAAACATGAGGAAGGAAGACAATGTAGGAATACAAAAAACAAGAATGACGGAAACAACAAAGAACAGATTGTAAACAAAGAGTGACACCATGAATCAAGAAAAGCATGCAGGTCAAACAAGAAAAAAGGAAGACAATGTAGGAATCCAGAAAGGAAAGGAGAGGGATATGAAGTAGGATACAAGGAAGGAAGGACATAATTAGAGTTAGAAACCAGGAAACGAGACAAGTTAGGAAGGAATGCCAATAGAAGGGAGAATGAAATGGCCATATGACAGGAACACAAGTGTTTTACTTTCCTTGTTTTCCCTCCATGCTCATCCAGACCTGGAAAATACTGTAATCTATTTCCATACTGTTCTAGGCTGCAGAGCAAGCCTCCAATTACCTTAGATATGTCCTTGTTGGCTCTACACTAGAAAAACAATCTAGAAATAAGTAAAAAATTCTTAAATTAAGTGTATTTACTTTTAATTTGAGTAGGTAAATGAGATATTTTGCCAATGGAATGAGTATTTTTACTCTTAAAATAAGATCATTAGATAATGTGCACTTAAAATAAGAAAATGCAATTGTGTTTTCTTATTTTAAGTGTAAATTTTCTTGTTCCATTGGTAAAATGTATCTTTTACCTCCTCAATCCAAGAACAAATTCCTTCTCTAGATTTTTTCCGCCAGTGTATTAGATGGACTGAAATCTTGTATCCCATGCTGATGTCCTCCTGAAACCGCTGACCATAAATTTTAGTACGACCCCTTAAATTACTAAAAATTAAATAAATCACTGAACAGAGGTGGGGGATTGCCATTTCAGCTTCCAAGCAGCTATAACTCTGTCCTGGAACTCATTTAAAAGAATCTACATAAGCAAACAAACATTATTCAAATGACCAAACACAAAACCCATAAAAAAACACTCCAACAACCCGGGAGAACGTCAGGCTGGTCGTTGATATGCATCTGACTTGGAATGTGACTGAATACGTGAAAACGATGGACCTCTGTGCTGCTAATTGAGAAATTAACAAAGACTTAATTCAGTTGCATCTGATCTTAGCCTTTTATGTGGTAAGAAGTGTTTTTTTATGCCCCCAAATACTGAGAAATTTTGGAGAATCTACAAAATAATCAGAAATCTGCTCACCATTATTGTTTTAATGTTTTAGATTTTATTTCTAAACCTCTGATTCTAGTTATTCCATGTTAGATATTTTTTTATGAAATGCAGCTCGGCCAGAGGATGGTTTGCGGCAGATAGCCGTTCACACTGAGCCTGGTTCTGCTGGAGGTTTCTTCCTGTTAAAAGGGAGTTTTTCCTCTCCACTGTCGCTACAAGCATGCTTAGTATAAGGGATTGCCTTTGATTCAATGAGTCGATGCAATCAACTGGTTTTCCTTAGATAGAAAACTTTGAATCAATTTGACTGTATGATCTGGTTGAACCGTAAAGTGCCTCGAGATGACATGTGTTGTGAATTGGGGCTATAAAAATAAACTGAATTGTTAATTTTCTGTGTGAAAATAAAGGCCATTGTGACGTCTCCTTCCCTGGGAGGCTGCTGAGTTAATTAGCAGTGTGGCAACAAGAGAGAAACAGAACTAAGGTGGCCCATCCCACAGAGATGTGGTTCTGATAAACGTTTCATGCATGATGTGCTTCCTTTTTACTGATACTTTATCTTTTTTTTATTTGAATCGTCTCCAAAGTTATTTTGTTCCTCCTTAAATTTAGAATGTTCAGCTGTTGTTGCTCTCCTTTGTATCTGATTTCGTTATGGACTTACTCCAAGTGGGAAATGCTCTGCATTGCCATAGACCGACCTGCAGGCCCGATCAAACAGCTGTGCCCAGATCTAGCGTCAGATTGTAATATACAGATATAAGAGTTCACTTTAACCAAAGTTTCACCCTCTTCGTTGATATGGGATTAGGTCAGAGACGAGCCAAACCACAATGAAAAAAAATCAAAACCTACACTGGAAAAAATCGAGCTCTAGATAAGTCAGTTTTTCTTAAAATAAGTGCATTTGTTGTTGATTGAAGAGATAAAAGAGACATCTTGCCAATGGAACAAGACAATTTGCAGTTAAAATAAGAAAACTCAATTGCATTGTCTTATTTCACGTGCATATTATCTAATTATCTTATTGTAAGAGTAAAAATACTGATTCCATTGGCAAATCATCTCATTTACCTATTCAAATTAAGGGTAAATACACTTGATTTAAGAAATTTTCCACTTATTTCTAGATCGTTTTTCCAGTGTAGATAAGCAATTTTTCCTTAAAATAAGTGAATTTGTTCTTCAACTGAGAAGGTAAAAGAGACATTTCGCCAATAGAACGAGACAATTTCCATTTAAAATAAGAAAACACAATTGCATTGTCTTATTTCAAGTGCATTTTAACTAAATATCTTATTTTAAGAGTAAAAATACTAATTCTATTGGCAAATCATCTCATTTACCTACTAAAATAAAAGGTAAATACACTTAATTTAGACATTTTTTACTTATTTGTAGATCGTTTTTCCAGTGCAACACATTCCTCTTCTGAGAGAAACTCCTGGATTTCAAGATGGGTCTAGACATGTCAGGTTGCATAAGAAGACTTATATCCCCATTGACTGATTCCTTTCAATGCAAATGACTCAGATTTTAGCTCTCCCTGGATGATGGTGTTCCTCTCCATCTCAAAGGGAAAACCTGACTGGCCTTCAGAGGAAAGTGATTTTAGCTTGTGTCCAAAATCTGTTTTTTTGATCATG